CCATAGCAAAAGTTTCAAGAGCTCATATGGGAATATTTCTCCAAGAAAATCTGAGTGTTATCTTCTCTGAGCTTGTATTGGGGGTCAATGTAAGTTTGAAGTGCTGTTCCCTTTATCATCTCTGTCTCTAGCACCACAATCTTCATTTTTATAACATCATATTATGAAAAATTTGTAATATATCACAATATCAATATTCTCTCTTGTATTATCATAGATCTAGTCTTCTATCCTGCTCTCTATACATTCTTGTGGTGTGTGTGTGTGTGTGTGTGTGTGTGTGTGTGTGTGTGTGATATGTGTGCTGTATGTGAGTGTGCTGTATGTGTGTGCATGGTGTATGTCTCTGTGTGTGTATGCTGTGGTGTATGTGTGTGTATGTTACAGGCATGAATCTGTATGTGCTTAACTCTTTTCCCTTTTTGCCACATTTTTATTAAACAACTTATTCCCTTCCAGAAGTATTTTTTAATAATTCACATAATGTTCCAGAGCTAGAAAATCCATCCATACCAATGTAGGTCTGTCAATTTGGTATACCTTTTCTTTTCTTTTCATATAAAAGGGCTGAATTTTCCATGCTTGGACATTTGTTTACTTTTATTTTCCAAACCTTAGACAGCTGAATAACCTTCAAAGGAAAAGAGTCCCCCATCTGTCCTTGATATTAAAGATCTATTTATATAGCCAGGAACACTCCTTGTCAAATAACAGCATTCTGTTTTTCTCTTTATTTTATTTTTTTCTCACTTTTGGATGCTCTCCATTCTGCTTCATCTCTAGATTCAGTGTTGACATGGAACTAAAGTATTAGACAGACATTGGAAGGTCATTTAAAAGAATTCTACTTAAATGTGGTGAACTGAAAAGAAGACCTTTCTGTTCCCCCTTGAAACATCCACGGTAAAGAAATAAGAAGGGTAGAAGTCAGAAGAAAAAGCAGGAATGGGGGAAAACTAACAAAAGATGACAATAAGTTGGAGAGAATTAGAAATGGACATGAGAAAAGTAGGAAACAGAGGAAAGAAACTGAGATCCAACCCAAGGATGCCTAAGTCCAGCAAGACCACCTGTACTCACAGGAGGTAAGACAGGAAGCCGGTCCACCTGCCTTTCAAAACCAGGAGAGACTCAGAACTTGGACGCTGTTTGATTTCTTTTGTGTCACTGGGACAAAATATCAGACAAAAGCAAATGGGGAAGTTTTTAATTTGGTTTACAGTTTTATGGAATTCCAGTCCATCATGATAAGGTGGTGGTTCATAAAGCCTTTCACATGCCTGTGCATACACTCCCCCCACACACACCAACCATACCCACACACATACACATATACATATGCATACATAAAATAAAAAAACAAATATTTAAAAATCTATCATTAATATAACCTTGTAGGAGCCAGGAAGGAGTCTCCTCTAATCTTTATTCTCAGAAGGCAAAAACATGAGCATTGAGAGTTCAAGGCCAGCCCAGGCCACTGTGAGCGCCTATCTCAAAAAGAAGAAAAGCAAAGGATGGAAAGATGACTTAGCCGTTAAGAGCAGTGGCTGCTCTTGCAGAGGACCCAGGTTCGGTTCCCTGCACCCCCATGGTGGCTAACAATAGTCCAAAATTCCAGTGCCAGGAGGAGATCTAATGCCTTCTTTTGACCTCTCTGGGCATTGCATCACATGAGTGCACTTACATACGTGTAGGCAAAACACTCAGCATAAAATAAAAATAGATAAATGAAAAATAAAAGAAAAAATAAATAAAAGTAAATCCCAGCACTTGGGAGATAAAGGCAAGTAGATCTCTGTGAGTTGAAGCCAAACTGGTTTACGTAGAAAGTTTCAGGTCAGCTGGAGCTACAGGAAGACCCTGTCTCAAAAAATAAATAAACAAATAAAAGTAAATAAATATTTGCATATATAGCATGTGTGCTTTGCTATATTTATATATATAGAGAGAGTCATATAAATGAAGGAAAGGAATGCATCCACATTAAAAGAAAAAGAAGGCACGACAAAAAGGATAATAATGACTAAGACAAGATTTTTCCATTTGAAATACAATATAACAAATTTAAAATGTAATTGAAACTAACGTAAAAGAAAAATAGAGAACAGAACAGAAACAAACCTAGAGGCAATAGAAAAATAGAAATTCACCCAAAAGATGACCCTTCAAGCAGGGCTGAACCTAGCACCCACTGGCGCTGGTCTCTCCTATATAATTCCTTCACATGACAGAGAAGAGAGAATGAAGTCTCTCCCATGGGAACACACGGCTGGGTAAATGGAGGCTCTCCTTCAGTATGTATATTACAGATATTTCACAGCAACGCTTTAAAACTTCTTTGTAAATAATGACAACTGAAAATGATACTTTTTATGTGTCACTCATATAAATCAAACAATCACCAAATAAGTCACTGTATGGAGGAACATGCTCAGTAGTGCAGGTTAAGAAAACTCCAAGAAAAGCCTACAAAGCTTAACTGGTATCTTGCATTAATTTTTAAATCTGACTCTAGGGACTGGGAAGATGGCTCAGCTGTTAAGAGTGTTTTCTGCTCTTCCAGAGAACCTGGATTTGGTTCCCAGCATCCTCATCAAATGACTCACAACTGCCTGTAACTCCAGTGCCAGGGGATCAGATCTCAGCTGGCCTCCACAAGCACCTATATCATATGGTACACATAAACCCATGCAGGCATGTGCACATACATGTAAAAAAAAATGAAGGACAACAATAACGACAACAAAGTTCCCTCCAAGGTAATGAAGTGATTAGAACAATAGGCATTAGTTCATAAACTTGTCGTTTGGACACATTTGATGTTTCCATCCCAGAGTAGATATTTGCTGATGACTCTCTGAGGGCCTGGCCTATTTTTGTTTGGGACCGAGACCACGCAGCTGAACAAAAGCAGTGAGGCTTGACAAAGCCATGAAGGTAGTCTGCATTAATTTTTTTACTTCACCATGATTCTGGGTTAACTTTTAAAGAGTGAAATGCAAACAGCAGCCCAGCAATTGTCCAGCTCCAGCTTTCGGTGGTCGCTGTCTTTTTTTCTGCCTTCGATTTTCCTTTGCCTAGAGAAGTTTACACTGAAGCGTGTGGAAACAGCAGTGATGTTGTACTGGAAGAAACAAAGGAGAGAAATAAAAGCAGCACTTAAAGGATATAGAGAGAGACAACTTTCCTTTTTTGTTCCAGATTGGGGGGAAAATGTGTTGAGATGTGAAACTGTGCTTCTATTTCAGGCCTTGGTGGCTTATTTAGCTTGAGTGGATTAATTTACTGTGGTGGTATCCTGGTTTATCATCCATGGAAAAGGTAATTTAAAAAATCTTTGACCTTGTCAGTTTGGGGGTCACTTCAGGTTGGAAGAGTTGTATCTGCTCTGTCACCTCCAATTTTCAGGAGTCTTTCTTGCCTTGAGACATTGACCTTGCAGTTCCTTAATATTTATTGCTGGTGGTTTTCTTCCTACTGCAATTCTTCCATCCTTTTGAATCATTCATCCATTTTTCTACTTGTAAAATTCATCATATTTTCCAATAAATGAAAGTTTAGCTTGTAGGTGATCACATAGAAAGGAGAAGGAGATTATCATCAAGTATACTTTGTATATGTTCAACAATAAACTAGACACTTATTATTGGATTTCATTTCACATACAACAACCACGGGCATAGCATTCATTCTTCAAACAAACCTTAGACCCCAGTGTCAGCACAGCCCAGGCCAGTGACAAACCAAGCAGAGCCCAGATCCACAGACTTTTCATACTTCTCTATTTGATGTATAGATACTTCTAAATTTTTAAAAATTTAAATCCATATGGAGGACTGAGGACAACTTACATGGTTCTTTCTCTCCTTCTACTATATGGGTCCTGGGGATCAAATTTGGGTCATCAAATTTAGCAGCAATTGCCTTTACTGGCTGATCCATCCCACTGCCCCTATTTCTAAATATTAAATATCTACAGAAATATAAACTTGTGCTGAACATATTCATACTTACAACAAAGAATTTCCTCCTGTAGATTATTTTTCCAGCCAACTCCTAGAAAACTACCTGAGTTTTCTACTTTCAGGAATGTACACCTTAACTTCCTGCTTTCTTCCTTCAGATTATAGTACACACTTCAGGGTCTATCATACACTGAGTTGTGTGGTGTCCCATATACCTCCAAATCTCATGTGAAGTCCTACCCTTAGTACTGGTATTTGCAACAGCAGACTTTGGAAATGCTTGGGTTCAACGAGGCCATGCTGGTTGGAGCCCTCCTAATGGGATTAAGGACTTCATAGGAGTCACCAGAGATCTTGTTCTCTCTCTCTCTCTCTCTCTCTCTCTCTCTCTCTCTCTCTCTGTCCCCAGGCAAGTATCATGAGAAAGATGGAAGCGTACTTGCAAGCTATGAAGAAAGTCCTCATCGGAAACTGGACACACAGACTCCCTCAGCTCAGACTTCAGCACCCAGCACTGAGAGCAAGGAACTTGTAGAGGTCATTCACTCTATGTTCTTCTTCATGGCAGCTGCAGTTGACTAACACGGGTTACCTCAGGAATCACACTCTCCAAACCCTATTTGATTTCTTTAAATTCCTCAACACAGTGGTTCTTAAACATTTTTTAATTTTTTATACTTTTCTGTATGTATATATTGTATGTTAAGTATCTTCCCTTTGAACTCCTCTGATATCACTTCTCTCTCTCTCTCTCTCTCTCTCTCTCTC